CGCCAGCACCCACATCATCAACATCATCAGCATCAGCATCAGCATCAGCATCATCATCATCAGCATCAGCATCAGCATCATCATCATCATCATCACCATCATCATCATCATCATCGTCATCATCATCATCGGCTGCCCAAACATCAACATCGTCGCCATCGTCGTCGGCATCACCAGACTCATCAGCACAACCGTAATGCTCCAACAGCAGCAACAGTAGCACCCTCATCACCACCACCACCAGTTCCATCATCAGCATCATCCCTACCACGATCATCATCACGCTCATGACCGAGTGTCTCGCCATCTGCACACCGTCACCAGGACCACCATAACCACCTCCACCATCACCGTCAACCTGATCATGGACAGCATCATTATCATCATCAGCATCCTCACCAGCAGCAGAATCATCCTTGCCATCATCACCACAACCATTAACCTCATCACCATGATAAGCCGCATCCTCAACCTCCCCATCGTAAACAACAGCATCATCATCACCACTACCATCATCACCAGAACCATCATCGCCACAAGCAACATCATTATCACCATCAACATCATAACGATCATCATCATAACCATCACATCATCAGCAACATCATCACCGTCACCATCGCCATCACCATCACCATCACCAGCATCAGTATCATCAGCATCATCATCATCGTCGTCATCATCAGCATCATCATCGTCATCACCATGATCGTCAGCACCAGCATCGTCATCACATGAGCATCCGCAGCATCGTCATCATCATCATAACACTGATCATCAATATCATCATCATCATCATCATCATCATCATCGTCACCTTCACCGGCATCGTCATTTATCATCGTCATGAACATCATCATCACCATCAGTATGAGCATTACCACCATCATCCACATTGCCATGATCATCAGCATCAGCAGCAGTATCATCAGCATCACCATCATCGTCAGTGTCAGCATCGTCATCGTTATCGTCATCGTCATCATCGTCACCACCATCATCGTCATCATACCCTCATCGTCATTATACCATCATCAGCATCATCGCCAGCATCATCATCATCATCATCATCATCATCATCACCATCGTCATCAACACCATCGTCATCACATTATCATCACCATCATCATTATCATCATCGCCACCGTCATCGACATCGTCATCAGCAGCAGCATCATCATCAATTTCGTCAGCATCAGCAGCAGCAGCAACATTAGCATCATCATCAGCAGCAGCAGCACCACCACCATCATCATCACCACCATCACCATCACCATCGTCATTACATCATCATCATCATCATCATCATCATCATCATCATCATCATCATCATCATCATCATCATCATCATCGTCATCGTCATCATCATCACCATCATCACCATCATCATCAGCAGCATCATCAATATCATCGTCAGCATCAGCATCGCCACCGTCATCGTCATCGTCATCGCCATCACCATCATCATCAGCAGCAGCAGCAGCAGCATCAGCATCATCATCAGCATCATCATCACCATCCCTGCGCCCAGTGCTGCTCCCCGCGCAGGTCCTGGCACCCGCCTCGCGCGCCCCCCGCGGGCGCGCCGAGGCCCAGCACCAGGGCTGCGGATAGGAGCGGGCACCGCCTAGAGGCGATGGGGGGGGGAGGACAGATTGAGGTGAGTGTTAAGCAGGAGGAGGAGGAGGAGGAGGAGGAGGAGGAGGAGTAGGAGGAGGAGGAAAAGGAGGAGGAGGAGGAGGAGGAGGAGGAGGGGGAGGAAGAGGAGAGGAGGGGAGGGAGGAGGAGTGAGAGGGGAGGAAGGAGGAGGAGGGAACGGAGGAGGAGGAGAGGAGGAGAAAAAGGAGGAGGAGGAGGAGGAGCAGGAGGAGGAGACGAGGTAGGAGGATGAGGAGGAGAAGGAGGAGGAGAAAGACCGGAGGAGAGGAGGAGGAGGAGGAGGAATGGAGGAGAGCAGGCGCGGGGGTGCGGCGGCTCAGCACAGGCCGCCGAAGAAGAGCGGGTGTAGCGGGCATGGGGCAGAGGCCTCCCCTGGCCACCAGCAGACGGAGGGCAGGGGAGGGGGGGGGCGCCACGGGCCGACGGCAGGCGGAGGCGGAAGGGAGGGGCAGAGCAGGGAGGAACGGGGAGGGGGGGGAAAGGGATGGGGGTAGAAGGAAGGGGGAGGGGAAGGGGAGGGGGGCAGGGACGAGGGAGGAGGGAGAGGGGAGAGAGAGGATGGAATCAACTCGGCCAGCGGGCACGATGAAGACCTCGGCGCCACAGGAGGGAGAGAAGGAGGGGGGAGGGGAGGAAGGAGGGAGAGAAGGGAGGAGGGAGGAAGGAGGAAGAGAAGGGAGGAGGGAGGAAGGAGGGAGAGGAAGGAGAGAAGGGGGGGGAAGAGAGCACAGGGGTGGGAGGATGCCTCGCCTGTGCCCTGCACCCTCTCCTTCAGCCTGCTGGTGCGCCCTCGTCGCCACGGCCGGATTTGCCTCGAGGTCCCGGTCGGAACGCGCCTCAGGTCAGGTTCTGGCCCCACGAGATAGACAGATCGGCAGAGCCTCCTGAAGTCTCGCGGGGCTGGGCGACCACAAAGCAGTGCCTCGGGGCGCCGCCTCAGGGCGCCGTCCCAGCGTGGCCCGTGGCGGGGATGGGCGGCCGCGTTTGGGGGGAGAAGTACTGCCTGGGGGGAGGGGGGGGGGCACGCTGCACCACAGAGTGGTCGGCGCCATGTTTCGCGTTCGAGGACCTGTTGCTGCGCATGTCGCCGCGGCGGCCCCGGCGATGCGCTGTGCCTGGCAAGCGGGTGGCGCGTCGCTCCGCTCCGCGGGGCGGGAGGCTCGGAAAGGCTCGGAACGTTGAGGCATCGGAACCCCGCGGTGGATAGCGTGTCGCGCCTAGAACTGGCGGAGCGACGCGTTTTCCACAATTTCCCGACCGTAGTGGAGGAGGAA